ACGCTTTTATTTTTGTAATTGTCCAACAGGTTTTTCTTGCCCACTGCACAGCTAGAACCGATTCATAGACAGCAATATTACAGTAAAGATTTTAATAAATACAGAGCTAGCCAAACGGAAGGACAGGAGTTTATTACTCAAATCATCCTCCTTGAAAGCTTGGGGGCTAGAGTTTTTCGAGGATAGCTTGGTTTGTAAGGGGCTAGGAAATGGGAAATGCTGATTGGCTGGGAATGAAATCATAGGGGTTTGGAAAATAGCTCCAGTGTGCAGGCAGCCTCTGGGTGGGGACCACAGGATCAGTTGAGTCATGAGCCATGAGTCCAGGTGGAGTTAGTAGGTTATCAGAATGCAAAAGTCTGAAAAACATCTCAAAAGACCCATCTTAGGTTCTACAATACTGATGTTATCTATAGGAGAAATTGTGGAAGTTACAAATCTTGTGACCTCTGGAACAATGGCTGGTTATTATCTAGGTCTGCCTACATTTTAGCAGAAGTCAGGCCTCTCCCATAATCCTAATCTTCCATTAGTTTTACAAAGGCAGTTTTGTCTCTGAGCAAGGAGATTTGTTTTGCAGAGGCACTGTTATCATTCTTGCTTCAAAGTTAAACTATGACCTAATTCCTCCCCTGGTTAGCTTGGCCTACACCCAGAAATGACCAAGGACAGCCGATGTTTGAGTCTAAAAGCAAGAAGAAATAAGCCATGCTAAACTTCTCTCACTGTCACTGTCTTTGCAAAGGGAGTTTCATTCTTAAAAACTATAAAAAAAAAATCCAAAGATGATTTCTTTAATAATTATTACAGCTACAATTTAAAATCTAGCACCTCTGAATGGAGTGTCTACATTGTTTTTGCCATTATCACACTGGTACCAACAAGAAAAATATATAATATAAATGAATTATAAAACATTTTGAAAGACTTGTCCGCTGACACTTCCTTCCTCAAAGACTGTAAGACCTTACTATAGATCAGGATTTGTGTTTTACAGTATGATTCCAGAAACATGAATACTTAACTGCCTCTCTAACGGCTCTTAGGGTGTTTAGAGCTCACTTAATAAAATCTGATTTTCTGGTTAATGTTGGAGCTCAGAAGCCAATAACTCAAATTGTGGCACTTTAACATGCTGAACTGAAGAAGGCTCAGGGTCTTTCTGACCTTCCCTGGGCTTCCACCATCTCTCCCAAAGCAGTTGAAGTGCCCTTATCTGCCTAAATTCCGGACCTACCAAGAAGAACAGTTGGTTTTTTTCTTTGCCTTTCTGTAAGACCAAAAATGTCACAACACCTGAATAGACCCTTTCACTGTCAAAGAGAACTATTTAAAAGTTAATCTGTTCGCAGGGATCCTTTTATTCTTCCTAGTAATATCCTCAATACAATTCCTCTTCTCTCCCCTCCCATAATCTTTTTGGCCAGCATAATGTAGTAGCATCATTGTCTGGGGTAATTCCCAAAGTTCGTTGTCCCACGACATGGAAAGCTAGGAGGCAGACACATCAGAGTGAGGTTAAGCATGGATATTTATTTTTTTTTCTTCTTTCTTTTTTTTTTTTTTGAGATGGAGTCTCACCTTGTCACCCGGGCTGGAGTGCAATGGCATGATCTTGGCTCACTGCAACCTCCACCTTGCAGGTTCAAGCAATTCTCCTGCCTCAGCATCCCAAGTAGCTGGAGTTCACCATGGAGTCTTGAACCCAGATTCTGAACCCTGAACCCATCTCCTGAACCCATCTCCTGAATTACTTACACTAAATCTAGCTATGACTGCCATTTACTCACTGTTTCTGGTATTTCTTTGGCATCTTCTCATACCATTCAAATGGCCACCATCAGCCAGTCAATTAGGGTGTGGTTGCCTTGCCTTGTGTTAACTGCCTGATCACCTGCAATCACTGATGGAGGGAGGGATGAGTCGTAATGGAGGCTAATTTTTCCATTTCAGAGGCAGAGCAGATGATGCTGTTGGCTCCCTCATCCCAAAGATGAGGCATCCAGGCAGGTAGAGGTTCCCCCGAGTGTTGCTGACACTGTTTATCTAATTCCCACAACATAATTGGGGTATAGGCACCATATGACATCTGCTCTGTCATGGTAGGGGGTCCCCGAGCCCAACCCTGGGACCCCAATGGCTGTTCCTGCTCTATTTTCTGATGGACCACTGGGCAAACCTGCAACTGTATCTTCTTCCTCAGTATCAGACTGAGCAGGGGTCTCTGACCAGGATGGTGGGCCCAAGCCCACAGTAATGGCAGCCTCTAATTCTCATTCCAAGCTGTGTATCTCGGCCTCCAGGTGTTCTGTTTGTGCCTGGAGGTCCCCTACCTTTGCTGCACCCTGCAGGGACTGAGTGTGCACTTACCATAGTACAGTCAAAAACACCCATTGAACTCTGCCAGCAAAGGCATTGTCCTCTGATTGCTCTGTGCTTCCAGGTACTTCAGTGCCTTCTCCATGCTCACAGGGGACCTGTCCACCACCATCAATGTTTCCTCCAAGGCCCATCCTAGCAGCACGACTGCCACCAGGTACCACAGCCTATGCTGGGGCCACATGGCTGACCTGGGATCATTGAGGCTGAGGGCTCATGCATCTTGGGATCCTACTGAGTATGCCAATTGACAGGTTCCAACCTGAGCTGGGTTCTGAGGGGAGGTGGTGGACAGGTGGTGGGTAGCTAAAAGAACGCTTGGATTGTAGGCAGTTGGGACATGGCTTTATTCTCTCTCCTGTCCTACAGGGTCAGCAGTGCAGTTACATTAGTCACTGACATAGTGGCTCAAAGCCAGGTATGAGCTCACACAAACAGCTTATATTAAACAACTACATAATGCATGAGGTTGTGCACCTGCGCTCCAAACCCGCTGTGTCATACCATAATGAATGTCTACCTTGGCCTACTCCTGACTTAAGCACAGCCACTTTCCTTATAATAATAAAGAATTTTTGAAAAATGCATAGTTTCTCCTCACTGATGACATGTGGAGACACTGTAAAGGACAAAGGTGGCAAGTGTGATTTCCTATGGTCAAATTAGCTACCTCCAGTGAATTCTAGATACCTTGGTTTGCCTTTTTCCATTTCTCTTGGGAGGAAAGTTGTTCCTCAGTATCACCACAAGGTGTCAGTAGAGTCAATTGTATAGAAACTGGGAAAGGCCAATAATTCTAAAATCTTTCTCCTGCAAATGGAAGAGAAAACATGTTTCCTACACAGTCTGAGTTACCGTATTTAGAGCATTCTACAACTTTCTTTCTTTTTTTCCTTTCTTTCTTTTTTTTTTTTTCAAGGTCTCACTCTGTCCACCAGGCTAGAGTGCAGTGGCAAGATCATGACTCAATGAGCCTCAACCTCTCAGTTTCAGGTGATTTTCCTGCCTCAGCCTCTTGAGTAGCTGGGACTATAGGCGTGTGTCACCACACCTGGTTGATTTTTTTTTCTTTTTGTAGATTTAGGGTTTGGTCATGGTCCCCAGGCTCGTCTCAAACTCCTGGACTCAAGCAATCTGCCCGCCTCAATCTCCCAAAGTGCTGGGGTTACAGGCATGAGCCACTGTGCCTGTCCCAGACTTTCTTGAAGAAATGAAAGATTTGATGAGTATAATCAGGTTCCAAATCCCAGTGATGTATTGGGGTTGAAGTTAATTTTAGACATAGAAAATGGGAGTGAAAGGGAAAGAAATTTGGACTATGGAAGTGAAAAGCAAAGGGAAGTAAACACACAATAAACCTCAAGTTCACTGAGCATCTTTCATGTGTCTGCTATAATGGTAACTGCTTTACAAAGGTTATCTCAATACATCTTCTGTCTCAAGGTAGGCATCATTCTTACTTGACTTGGGCTAAAGGGGCATTGCTACTTGAAAGAAAAGATATCAGTGACTGACATAGCAGTGAGGCTGAATCTAGGATAAAAAGTGGTTTTGAGTGTTGCCTAAAGGACTGGATGCCTTTTCTGATAAACAAGTCAAAGCTGAAGAGAGACCCGGGGGGAACTTTGAAGACCAGAAGTTTGACTGGGTAATCAGTAAGACTTCTGGTATCCAGAGTCCTGTGGTGGTGGTGAAGACATGGTGGCAGGGGGTGAGGAACAAAGCTGGAGTGTGAGTACAGTAGATGAATACACCAATTGTGGACTCTGGGTTGTAGTCCTCTCCTGTGGCAGAAGGTGGCACTGTGTGATTGATATGGGGGAGGTGGATTTTCAAAGGAAGGACTCTCTCTCTCTCTCTCTCTCTCTCTCTCTCTCTCACACACACACACACACACACACACACACACACACACCCCTATTTATCCCCTACATTCTTTTAGGCAGAAGAAGTTTGCTTTATTCTGTGTTCAAATAATAATTAGTGCCCGGTATACATCCCTAATTTCATTGTCATCTCTGTTTCTCTTATTTGACATAGTGTCTTGTATCCAATAAGTGTCAATAAAAGCTGAATGTCCACAATAGGTAAATAAACAAAAGAAATGGTGTGTGTCAGTGGGGGGTGCAATGGACAAGGAGAAGATATAATGAACGAGAGTTTGAAGATAAAGCTAAAATCAAAGAATCTGACAGTCCAGTTTCAGACTGGGAAAAAAACAGCAGAAAAGCTGTCTGAGTATCAGGATATTTGATACAGCGGGTATGACCCCTGCTACAGTGGGTAAAAGCAAGAGAAACATGACCAGTTCTTTCAACGAAATGGAGCTCATGTAAAATTGAAATACTTTTCTACGTGTGTGTGTGTGTGTATGTGTGCGCACACATGCTGAGACTTAACATTTCTACACAATTGGTCTTTCTTGCAATAAGAAAATAAGTATCAACTGGTCTTTGCTTCATAACAAATAAGTATTCCTGGTTAGCTTTTGTTTGCTCATTAGTTTTGCTTGAATATTTGGGGGGGAGAAAATGGAGCTCAAATTTGGGTTTATTCCTGTCATTGTTGACTTGTTCTGTGTTTAAAGGAAAAAACAACAAAATAAGTGTCAAAACAAAATATGCACTCAAAGATTTTATTTTGAAGCCAGCTACTTTCATGGACCCTGAGACTTCATCGTATGGGGCTTGCCTTTACACACTAATGAGTAAAATCCATGGGATAAAACATTGGCACCAGTATAAAAGAGTCTGAGCACCACAAGAAGTCAGTTAACTCCTGTTGACTGTTGACAATTAAGGGGTACAATAAAAGATTGTGCCCTTTGCTTCACTGTGATCCATTAAATGATCATTCTGCCTAGTTTTCTGGGAAACATTTTCTGGGAAATGTTTCTGGGAATGATCATTCTGCCTAGTTTTCTGGAAATTCAGACTATTTGGCTAGTCTAGTAAATGGTAATTTACAGCTCTTTGCTTTTGCTGAAGTCAATGTCAGGCAAATCAAGAGATTCCCCAATGAACACATATCTTAAATGACAGTGAAATAATGTTTGGTTTTAATGTTCATTACTTTAAAAGCTTACATTTAGGAAACTCAAGCTTTGCTTTTTTATAACGGTTAACTTTTCCGTATTATCATAAGAATCAACTTTCTGATTAATATTTCTCCCTTTTTTCCTAAGAAGTCAATAGTTCTTCATATCCAGGGCCATGAGTCATCTTTGAGGACATACCAGAATTATCGATGTAACTGTGAGGCAGGAAAAGCACACTCTAGAAGAAACAAAGTATGTTAGGTCTTCAGACTTCAATTAGGTTCAAGACAGATGTATATATGCCATTTTTCCAACTGTATACATAGAATTCTTAGCTAATCCAAGATAAGTAGAGCATATCACCAGGTTCTTCAAATAATTGCAACTTATCAATCTAGTATTCATTCTACACTCTATAATACAATTTTGGATAAATCAAGGCTTTTTAATACAGTTAAATAAAGCCATAAGTCCATAGGGGTGGTATCCCTTGGAATTTGATTCAACAGTACATTTTTAATATGTGTTTTAAAAAGAGAATTTAAAATCACCAGGAGCAAAAGCAGAGCATAAGACATTCACTGGATCCAGTTACATGTGTAAATGCCCTTTACCAAGTCAATACTATTAGAGAGATCAGTGGTTGTGGCAGAAATTGTTTCTGCTGAGAAGGGAGGCAAGCCCGGTTCTAGTGTCCTCAGCACAGGCACAAACTCATAGCATAATGCCAGGCGAGTCATTTCACTTCCCAGAGTCTCATTCCCTTCATTGACAAAATGAGAAGATTGAACCAGTTGATTTCTCATTTGAACTATTTTCATATCCAGTGAACTCTCAGCTTGTCAGCTACTCAATTGCTATCTGCTTTTCTTTTCTGTCTTCCATCACCATGAAAGCGCCCTCCCATGTGTATCTCATGACTGGCTGGTTGTTCCTTCTACCATTCTTGGTGACATAGTTCAACACAGTGCAGAAATAAGATACACCAGGCAAGATTAAGAGATGCTGGCCAGCGCACTCACCCCAGGGAAGTCAGAGTAAGCCTGTTTCCACCACAGCACAGCAGTGAGCACAGCTAGGCAGAATTCCAGCAGAGTGCAAATTAGCATCAGAGACAGAGTTCCCTGAAAGTCAAGAAATAAAAGATTGGTGGTGCTTAGGTCAGCTGAAGCCTTCATGCCTAGTTGAGAGGTGACCATAGAGATGAAGACCTCCTCAACCATTAGAGAACAAAGAAAGGACACCATCAGGAAAATAAAACTGCTCCTCCCACACCTCACAATTGTCTTAATTCAACCCCTTAACTCATTCATTTCCTTGAGAGGAGAAAGGGAGATGAATAGTAACTAAATCAACTAATCTACTTCACACACTTATTTCTTACTTCTCTGAGACATCGATAGTTCTGATGACATTGTTTACTCGGCAAGAGAGCAGAGTGGTGTAATAACTCCCAGGACTGAGAATCAGCAGCTCCGTTCCAGTCTCACCTTTACTGCTTAGTAGCTGTGTGAGCCTGGACAAGTCTCTGTCTTTCTGTTTTCTCATGTATCAAACATGCCTACTAACATTTATTTCTCAGAGATTTGTGAGGATCAAGGAGGCTTTGACTGTGCAAGTCCTTTGTAAAATTCAGTATTGACATCCCTGTCTATGTATCTGAACCCCTTTGGATTTCTTCTTGATCTTTCTTGTGGTTTCTTTGTTGTTTTTTATGTTTTTGCTTTTTTGTGTGTGGCTGGAAGGCTTAGAAAAAATCCATGAAGGTAGTAAACTGCCAGAATTGCTAATCACCAACACCAACTCACAAGGAGGGGTTCTACCATTTCTGTCCTGAGACATTCTTTGTGTAGAACTGACCATCTGATAATAAAGGGAGATAATTTGATCACATGAACTTTTGGTTTGTGGTATTTACACACAGTTAAAGAGAAGATATAACTTTTTTCCATTACCTAGAAATTGTTCCAGCAAGCAAGCTCAACAGAATCTCTCTTATTTCCAATGTATCATGAATTTATACTTTTTCACTACCAAATTTCTCTGAAATTTCTCTTCAGAATTTTTCCCAAGGTGGAATTGGCTGTGCCCAGTGTTAATCTGTACCATTTACTGTCAGCCTGATTTACTTGTACTTTTTCTCATTATACTGTTACCTTGGGAGCAAGGCCCTCTTTATAGTGAGTGCTGTACAAACATGACTTTCTCCAGACCTTTCTATCTGTCCATCTTCCAGTTGAGCTCCTGGCTTATCTCATTTTTATGATTGCAGGACAACAAATATACTGCAATCTCTTTACTCTTTTTTTGTTTTTGACGTGGATTCTCGCTCTGTCACCCAGGCTGGAGTGCAGTGGCGCGATCTCAGTTCACTGCAACCTCCGCCTCTCAGGCTCAAGCAATTCTCTGCCTCAGCCTCCCAAGTAGCTGGGATTACAGGTGCCCGCCACCACGCCCGGCTAATTTTTGTATTTTTAGTAGAGGCAGGGTTTCACCATCTTGGCCAGGCTTGTCTTGAACACCTGACCTCGTGATCCATGCACCATGGCCTCCCAAAGTGCTGGTATTACAGGCATGAGCCACTGCGCCCAGCCATCTCTTTACTCTTATGTTGTCTGTTTTTTTCTCAATGTGTTGCTGACTGTGCACATGCCCCTTAATCTTTCAACTGCAGACATATTATTTCTGTTAGCCAGACTTCGTTGTTTTTCTTCTTCCAAAGAGATAGAATTCTCCCACAATCATTCTCAATTACACTCTCCATCTCCCTATATTTCTTATCTCCTGATTTAATATATCATACTTCTTTCAGCTATAACAAAAAGCAACAATAATATTGCATTCTCACCTGATCAGTAGTATTCATTATTGTGATCATCAGAAGAAGCAGCCCTTATCTTCTATCCCCATATTTCCTATTCTCTTTTTCTTAGTACTGAATCTGATGTCTTCTCAAACCAAATTCACTCCTTACCACACACACATACTGGGTTCCCTTGTTGGCATATTCTGATCTCCTGGGTCCTTCTGCTGTTTCCATTCTTAATTCACCATTCCATGTACCAAAATTCTCAGTTTGATAAACTGATAATTTATGCTTCCAAAATTGGATTAGTTTGATAATTAAGAACCTCTACAAACAATAAGTTTTATTTTTTCATCATCAACCTTATTTAACATTTTCAATTCCACCCTATTACTATGTAATCACCTTAGTCTCATCCATGTAGTCCCCTTTGATTTACATAATCCTGACCTTCCCCCAGATGCCCAAACCAGAACCAATAGAGAGATTTTCAAAAGAAGGAATAACAAGAAATCCAGGCTTTTGAATACCTCATAAAATTAGAACATTCCATCTAAAATACTTACAGCCAGACTGGCTTTGACTGTATAGCAGTCCATGGTATAAAGTGGATCATGATAATAGTAAGAAACATAACTTCTGGTTGGTATATTATTTTTGTCCAACTCACACTGCAGGGAAGCAGGATTTAAGGCAGCCAGTTCGACAGACAGGATAATGAAACCCACTAGGGCAGACAGAGCACTCAGAATGCTTCCAACCAGGCTGCTATGCACCTGAAAGAAAAATGCTGGGTAAGGATCATTGCTAATGACCCATGAATCTCTTATATGTCTTTGCCATTAAATTGTAAGTTATTTCCTTATCTGTCTCCCTCAGGAGGTCTGGGATTAATCATTTATTGCTGTATGCCTCTCCAGTGTACAGCAAAAAATCTCTCAATCTCCGAGGTACATCTTGGCTGAACGAATGAACATATGAACTGGTTCCCCTTAAGCAGGATCTCAGTGGTGTGGTAGAGAATGTTACTCTCCTAAATTCTTTCCCCAGGACAGATAGCAGGGCCTTCATGAGGCTTTCCCTGCAACATTACCAAGAGAGCGTGACCCAAAGCAAAGGTGGCAATGAACTAGATGCAGTTTCTCTCTCACTCAACTCAAAAACCCCTGGTGGAAGCATCAGCTACACGGAAAAGGCAGATCATGTATTAGCATGGTGCAAAAGTAACTGTGATTTTTGCTGTAAAGCCACAATTATGTTTGCACCAACCTAGTAGTTCACTCTTGCATGCCCATTGTCTCTCAAAAGCACACCTCTCAGAGATGAGTGAGGGGGTGGTTCTTAGTCTCAGGCAGGCCCTGGAACCTGGGCAGGCATACGGTTGGCCACACTGAGCACAGCATGGGGTGGGCAGAGGTCTAGGTGCAGCCCAAGGATGGTGTAATGTGTGGGAGGCAGTGGGAGGTATAAGAAAAAGGTCTGAACTGGAGGTCAGAATGTTGAGGTCACAGTACTAGACTTGCCTTGGCTTGTTCCCTTGGGTAATCAGTTCCTTGGTTTTATTTCCCACTCTGGTTCTCATTTCTACATTTATGAAGTGAAGGGAGTAAATAAACTGACCTCAGAAGTGACTTCCTTTACTCCAACTCACACAGAAAAGAGAATTGAGCTAAGAGCATTCTGAAAGCTATAGTTACAGGTAGGTAGGCTCCAGGGCACACCCCACAGCTGTACAGTAGAGGGTTACTTAATCCCACATGGGCACTTCTTCTTTTAGAAACTCACCAGTTGATGCTCTGGGACCCCAATTTCCCAACATAATGACTAAAGGGTATACTCCTGGGCCTCCTGGTAGCCAGTAGTAGTCTTGATGCCTAGAGTATATATTTCTTAGAATAAGCTAGATTTGTCTTGAGATGGCACTCTTCTTCAGTCTCAAAAAGGGCTGGTACAATGTGTGACAAGAGCAGAACTCACTAAAGCCTCAATGTTTCTGGTGAGTGTGAGCCCACCCTGAGATCACATCCTGCATCCTTGAGCTTCCTGCATGTTCACTGTGGGATTGTTCTCTGGAATAAAAGGCCCATCTATTTCCTCCTGAAAGTTTGAAAGCACTAAAAGTTTGTGCCAGGCTACTCAGTGTGGTTGCCAATAGCCACATGGACTATCTATATTTAAAGTAAAATTAAGAGAAATTTTTATTTGGTTGCACCATTTGTATTTCACATCATCGACAGCCCCATGTGACTGCTATGTTGTACAGTGCAGCTGTAGTGCATTTCCATCATCATAGAAAGTTAAATTAAACAGCACAGATCTAGTTAGTAGTTCAGAGTCTAACTGCGGGGTCCAAATAATAATCTCTAAATACTGATGAGAAAAAGAATTGGCATTTTTCTGGGCACTCTTTCTCACTTCCTTGCTGACTTTGGGAGATTTTTGTAGCCAGAGCTTCTAAATTGAGTTTTGGTGCAATTGCATGATATGGCGTTCTCTCACATCAGCCCCTTGAGGGATAATGGATTGAGTGAAGACTTAACGAAACTTTAGAGACAAGAGAAGATTCTCCCTATAATCCAGCCTTTATCTCCTTGCCACTTCCAACTCTAGTTTTTGCTGGAATAAGGCTTAAAGACTGGTAAAGCTTTTTATCTTCTTAGCCAACACAAATGACTAGGGACAACTTTTTAGGGTGCAAGAATTTATACTCAAACAAAATAAAAGTATTATTCTTCTGGTGAGATAGATGAAAGACTACACTCAGCCAGCACTACCCAAAACGACTGAAGTCCTCAGGGAGAAGGAAAATCTGAGACAGTCTAAAGGAGCCCGAGGAGACATCATGCCTAAATGTAATGTAGTATACTATAGCAGCCTCTGTGTCTACTTTGGATACCTCACATGAACAAAACTTTGACTCATTTTTTTTCAAGGGTTGTAACACCTGGGCTTAAAGAGTGGACCCCAACCAATAGACCTCTTTATAACACTGTCAGCTTCCTTGCCACTGAAAACCTGAATTTGAAGGCCAGTTGTCACCAAAAGGACATCATAAACAGGCACAATTTCTCTGTGATAGATTCTTCGGCATGGGCAGAGGGAATATTATAATCCTCTGAATGCAGACTTTGATGTAGGGTACAATAATTGGATAAATGTGCTCTGAACAAGGATACAGAGGATCCAGGCCCGGCTCCTAACTCTAACAACTGTCTGCTCTGGAACTGAGTTTTCAACTTTTCAAAGTAGAAAGACTGGCCTTAACGAGTTCTGTCTAAGTTTTATTTTGATCCATTGGGTTGTGAGTTACAGTTCTTATACTCACCAAAAACTTGGTTAACCTTTTCTCTGTGGCAATTGATAGAGAGCCAGAAATGATAAACTAAGATAAAAGAGAAAATGGTCAGGTCACTTTCCATGTACAGAGTAACTGCAATGTCACTATCAAAATGTTTATAGAAAACTGTCATGGGAAAAGCCTTGAGAACCCAGTGATCAATGAGGTAAATTCCATTTAAAGACATATATTTGTCCCTTTGTCCATATAACATTCAGATAGCATCAGAAAAAAAAGATAACAGAAATATATCCTAATAAACAAAAAGTATCCAACTAAACAAAAAAAATACCTTAAAAGCCAGGAAAGAATTTTTGTTTTTTTAATAAAATGAGACAGTTTTGGTGTAAGATGTTCTCTAGGGAAGGACATGAATGCAATGGTCAAAACAAAACAAAACAAAAAACAAACAAACAAACAAAGTAGTAATTTAACAGAGGAGAAACCTGGAAAATACTACCCCAAACACATGATCACCGTTAATTGTGTCAGTGACATTATGTTGGTAGCATGACCCTTGATACGACTTGATGAAAATGGTGCTTTACCTCGTCATCATCACCCAAAAATTCATCACCACACTCTAAACATCAAAAAAAAAAATCAGACAAACCCAAAATTAGGAACATTCTATAAAAATCTCAGCCAGCACTACCCAAATCTATCAAAGTCCTCAAGGAAAAGGAAAATCTGAGCCTAGAGGAGCCTGAGGAGACATCATGACAAAATGTAATGTAGTGTAATACAGTAGCCTGGCATGGATCTTGGAACAGAAAAAGGTCATTTGGGGAAAACCAATGAAATCCAAATCCAAGTGTAACTTTAGTTAATAAGAGAAGAAAAATGGACAAGATACACAAAAAGGTGGACTTCTTGGTGCATCAAATACACAAATGTAAGAAAAACAAATAGCTACCGAATTGCAGGAAGTTGAAGGAAAAAACATCTATGAAAGGGAAGCTTAACTATGAGAAAGCCTCCATCTAAGAGAAAGCAGTTCTCTGAGAAAAGGACTAAGTTCTTTTGAAACTCCAGACTTGCAGCTATTTCAGAGGAATTTTCTGTCAATCACTGGGCATAGCTATCGGCTCAGCCTTACGCGGGAATCAGTCAATGCAGTAAAAGTATTTTCAAAATGTTCAGAGATGTAAGTTTCCTTCCTCCATGATCCCCACAAGCATGGGGGGATCACAGTGTGGTTTCTCTGTGAGTGTATGATGTCTTCCATTGATGCTCATTTTTTTTTGTATAAAATGTTCCTTCCCAACTTTATTGTAATTCATGGAATTTTTTTTTTTTTTTTGCCTAAACCTGGAGAGAAGTCACTAGCTTCATCATAGCTCAAGATGATAATGTGAAAAATACGATAATCTTAAAAAGAAATGCTTATTTGTGTCTGATAAGAAATTGATCTAAAATCAGGCAACCCCTGTCATCCTGCCGTACTCAATCCTCCCTGAACTACACACACAGGAGAACAAGCTTCACTGTTGACTCCTTGCTCCTGGCAGATCAAACATAGCAAGGTGGCAGGTGGAAAGTCTAAGCTATTGTCATCTTCCTCCCGTCTTCGCCCCATCCTGCCCTCCTCAGAAACTCTACTCACAAAAAAGGGTCCTATGAATGGGTAAGCAGAGTTCAACAGTGTAGAAGTCACTTGGGTAAAATTTGGAGAGAAGGAAGCAGATACCAACATGATTCCCAAGCTCAACAGCATCACACCACACAAGATCTGGATAGTCTGTGGGAAGAGAAAGGGAGACTGAGGATGAAAACCAGCATTTGTAAAGACAGGGCCTTTTTGCCTCTCCCATGGCTCTAATGCATTATCACTTTCTGCGAGATCCCAGTGAGGATACAAACCCTGTGGAAACTCTGGAGTGAGAAACATGAAAAGACACCCTGGAGGGTGTGCGGCTCTGCCACAGAAGCCACAGTCTCGGTGTCTGGCAGGTGCTCAGGAAGGCATCTGCATTTCTGCCTCTCAGGTCCTGGTCTGCTCATGGCTCCTGCTTCCAGCTCAGAGCAGCTGCTGGGATTTCCTTTCCCAGTTCTCAGGACTTCTGAGTCCATGACTAGTTAACTGGCTTTCTACCTCCCTGAAAACAAGGGGCACCTGGAAGCCCCACATTCCCTGCAGGATTGGCGGTGCAGAAGTCCCTACCCTCATCTCCCAGACTCCACTGGCCATGGAGTTTGCCCCTCTGGTCACCTCCTTGGAAACTGCAGTTCACAAACCAAAAGCTGAAGTTCTGGAAGCTCTTTTAGTTTTTACTTTTATTTTAAGTTCAAGGGTAAAAGTGCAGGTCTGTTACATAGGTAAACTTGTGTCATGGGGGTTTGTTGTACAGATTATTTCATCACCCAGGTATTAAGCCTAGTACCCATTAGTTATTTTTCCTGATCCTCTCCCTCCTCCCATCCTCCACCCCCCGAAAGGCCTCAGTGTGCATTGTCCCCTTCTACGTGTCCGTGTGTTCTCATCATTCAGAAGCCATCACACTTAGCAAACTAACAGGGACAGAAACCAAATACTGCATGCTCTCACGTCTAACGGAAGCTCTGTTTTAGGAGGTAGTTTCCCTCCTGGACGTCCACCTAGAGATTCACACCTCTATTATCATTTACCAAGAAGTTTTCTAGACCTTATGTCACATGAGCCTCACAGAAACCCACGTGATTGTACATGAGGCAAGGAAACCAGTCCCACCAGGCCCTGAAATCCAGTCAAATGCAGTGCCTCACCTCCGATCACATAAGTGCAGAGGCAAACAGAAGGTGAATATCATTTCCATTATCAAAAAAGTAAGGAGAAAAGAGGGAAAGGAGGTGTATATTTCCTCTGATTTGCAGTGAGGGTAAAATTCTTTGCAAAAAGTTGGTGTGGATTATTAAGCATGCAATTGTGAAATATACACACACACACACACAAAAAAAAAAAATATGTAATTATTTACCACCATTACTTTTGTAAAAAAAAAAAAATACAGAGAAGCACCTGTATTGTAAAAATACAAAGACAACATAGAAAATGAATTCCTCATATTTAGAATAAGGGAAAATATGTTTCTAAGACAACCTTTTGTGGAAAAGTTCTGGGACAGTTTTCTCCAAGTGGCTTCTACTCCAAAGTCCTTCTGGCAAAACTTAAGGGTCTCCACACTCGGGACAGATGACCAGTCCCAAGACATACATCATCTCTTCCCGCTTCCCCCAACCCCTCTCCAACATGTTCTGAATTAGATTTACCCCAATAACTTTGACTTCTGCCTGTAGACGTTTCTTCAGGCTACCCTGCCCCTGGTTGGTGGGTTCGGGTTTCTCTGCTTGGGAGAAGTTGATGACATTTGATGGGAGCACTATCATGGTCTCATTGGGAACAGGTTGTGATGTCATGATGGTGTTGCCAACTATGGAAGAAAAAATAGATTTACCTCTTAAAAAGTACAGAGCTCCCAGGTTCTGGCTCCAAAAACTGTAACTTGGTCTTTGCCAATTAGTCCAGGCTTGGCCTGTCCATTAGAGAAAGAAACTGATAATACGGAACAGTGAAAACCACACAACCTTGGTTTCATGAGGATTTTTCCACAATGTTTGACACAGTCCATTATCGATAATAAACACATCACAGGGTGGCAGCAACATGAATCTTGAGAGGCCCCAATGTCCAGAGGCAAAGGGTCACACAAAATTTGCAATATACAAAGGCAACCTCCCTTTCCCCTAGTCCTACGGACAACAACTGTATTGCCATATATTTGATGAATTTTCAGACTCATAAATGAACTCTGCTTACTTATTTTTTGTCTAATAATACTATTTATTAGCATTCATCTTAGATATGTTTATCATATTTTACTAGACATGTTCTTAGTTTTTATCCTGCAGTGCTTTTAATCCTTACAATAGCTCTGCATGTTAGTTAGTAAAAACATGTAATAAATAAGGAAATGCAAAATAAAGTTTAAGTTATGAATGCAAATAATATACATATTGCGCATATGTGTGGCCCAGAGTTAATGCTGAAGAAATATTTGCAGTTACCCTTATTGTTCACCCTGGTTCACACAGCTGGGAAACTGCAAAACCAGTCTTGGATCGCAGCTTTCCTGGAGTCTGAAGCATTTGCATAAATCTCTAGATCACGCCACCTCTTCCTACTTTCCCACCTGGCAATGCTAACCTGTGTCTGAGTTTACTCAGGCTGGAGAAGCAGCTGTATGCAGTGGTATGAGAACATGTCTTGGAGTCATAACACATAGGCTTGCATCCTCAGTCCTCCCCACTTTTTAGCATAAAGACCACCGAGGCTGTGGTATTTGTTGCTAAGCTCAGTTTGGATCCCTTTTCACTACACCATTCTCAACCCACAGGCTGCCCAGTTTACAAATGGTCTAAACACATTTGAAGAGACAAGAGCTCTACTCCCATTAATTACACAATCTTAGGTAAGCGACTCACTGAGTTCACGCAATCAGAATACAGCGGAAACAGAGTTAAAAACAGATACTCCTTCCATCTGCCCACTCTATTTCCAAAGGCTCTAGTGTCTCTTAACTGCTGTCAAGGAGTTTCAAGTCATATTACTCCTCTCATGAGGTCACGGCAAGCGAACGGTGACATGAGAAAAGACTTTCAGCATTACCTACCTGTGGCCGTTGGTTCCAGCTGAGTCCTCAGAAGCTCCCAAGAGGTTTTAACTCTGGGTTCTCAGTCCCATCAATGGTTTCTACTTACCTTCATCTGCTGGAAGTCATCAGCCCTTCCTTAGTCCAGTGTTTACAGCTATACAGGATGTGATACTTACAGACTGTAGATTTGTGAAATGTGCCTGCACTTCCTTTTCTGTAAACTTCTAGTAACTTCAGAAAAACCATGAAAAAGACCACTTCATAACTGTGAGAGTTCGGGAGTCACGGAGCCTTCTGTGTGAATTGCCACTTCGAGGTGTACAAGTTCCCTGTTATTAGGCAAGCCTGTTCTTGGAGCTTCAGTTTTCTAATCTGTTAAATAGAGGAGCAATACCAACACTGGAGAATTGTCATAAACATGAGCAAAAATATTTATAAAAAGCGTATGCTGCTTTGAGGCTTTCAATAACATGTAAATAATAATAATAGTGCTAGTAATCATATAGATAAATAACAATATTCCATTGTATATAACCAACCATAATAATAACAATAATAATAGCAATAATGACTATACTGCTTTAAAGGAACATTCAGTAATATATAGCTAATAATAGTAATATAGAACATAAAAATTTAAAAAAAAATTGTTTTGTATATATAGTTTGTGTATTTGCTTGTTTTGTCTTGCTTTTCTAATTCTCCAAGTCTTGGCAGGCTGAAAGCAACCTTTCAATACTCATTGCCCAACTGCTGCCTACCCTGAAGTCCTCTTCCTCCTCTGGCTGCTTTCTTTCTCTAACAACAGATCTTTGCTCTCCAGGAAGGTTGGGCCCCTCTAGGGAAGTATTGAAATATTGAAATGGAGAAGGAACAAATGGGAAAGATTCAGCAGGACCTAAATGAATTCAGCAAACTCATATCTGGCCTGGTTTTGTGAGGACAAAGGCACTGTGCCCCTTCAAACCCTTGGGTGGCATTCTTTGGGAGCTGACTTCAATGTATCAGGCAAGGAAACCAGAGCCAGCCAGGGCGATGGCAAAGCCCCATGCTGCCAGTTTCCTTCCTCCTTTCCTTGGAGGAGCTGCCAGAATGAACCCAGAAACACAACCTGAACCATCACCGTCACCTCAGAGGGCCATGGGTTCTGCACTTAATTCCACACATTAACTCTTCTGTTGAAGAAAAGAGTTAAGAAACACCATTTAGAAGGCTGGATTCGTTCTCAGGGTCTGAATGACACAGACATTATGAAATGTAATTGAATTGCCTTAAGTTCTAACAATAAATCTGAGAGGAGGAATGGACTCACCCAGAAAGCCTGGGGAGAGGGGCAGAATCACCTCCAACCTCGCTCACCCGCGCTCCTGGTGCCCTTTCCCCTTTCACAGAGTGCCGGCTGTGTTTCCGGTGGGCGCCCTGCATCTCTGCCACCCTCACATCATCTGTGAAACACTGGAATGCAGCTCTCCTCCTGAGCTTTGATTAAAAAGGAGCTTGGGTCTCTTCAGGAGCAATCACACCCCCTTTCCCTTCCGGGAAATGTGCTGATAAACCAGTTAAAGTTGCCTACCCAAGCAAAGACACCCTCTCCAGTCTGTTTACTCTCTGTACTATTTATCTTAAAATGATTTCTGAGTTTTAAGGATTATGTGAGACAACATACGTAAGGTGCTTAGTACAGAACCCTAAAGAATTTGACCTAAAAGTGGTCTGTTCACTGTCTTTCCTCCCCCAATCTTCCTTTTTTTCCATTTTGACTTCAGTAAGCTCCAAACAAGACTCCTCTCTCTTGTCTTTCAGCTTACACTCATTCAGCCTTTTACATTCCCAGTTTTTTCCAGAGTCTGAACTCTACCAACCTAACCAGAGGGGAGAAGACTGATATATCAATAACACATTCTGATTAATGATCTTGGACAGGTTTCTCAAATAAGCTACTAATGCCACTTTGGACTGGGCAATTCTTTGTAGTAGGTGGCTATCCTGTGCACTGTAGTATGCTTAGCAGACTCCCTGGCCTATGCCAGCACAACCCTACCCTACATAACAACCAGAAACATTTTCAGATATTGTCAGATGTCTCCTGATGGAGGGAGAACAAAATCCCCTCACATTCATGTTGAGAACTACTGACCTAGGAGCAAAAGGGCTTTTTTGTGTTCTGTGTAAAGGCAGGTGTGCAAGAAACAAACAATGTTTTCTTTAAATCAATTTCTCAAATTTCATTTTTAAAATTTTAAATTGTGGTACAAAATACATATAATTCATTATTTTAACCACTTTTTTAGTGTATAAACCACTAATATTAATTTTGTTCACATTGTTGTGTAACAGACCTCTAGAACTTTTACATCTTGCAAAACTGAAACTCTATACCCATTGAACAACTACCCCTGTCCTTCCTATTCCCAGCCCCTGTTAACCACCACCCTACTTTCTGTTCCATGTTTGCTCTGTGTCTAGGGGAGGAGATCACCCCTCATATTGTCTTATGCCTAATTTTTGTCTCTAAAGAAAGAAGAAGTAAAAACTAAAAGGCAGAAATGAAATCCACAGGCAGACAGCCCAGCGCTGTACTTTGGGCCTGGTTAAAGATCGACCGCTGACCTAAATGGTTATGTTATCTGTAGATTCCAGACATTGTATGGAAAAGCACTGTGAAAATCTCTGTCCTGTTCTATTCTGTTCTGATTACCAGTGCATGCAGCCCTCAGTCACACACTCCCTGCTTGCTCAATAGATCATAACCCTCTCATGGGGACCCCCTTAGAGTTGTAAGCCCTTAAAAGGGACAGAAATTGCTCACTCGGGGAGCTCGGTTTTTAGAGATGTGAGTCTTGCTGAAGTTCTCAGCCGAATAAAGCCCTTCCTTCTTTAACTCGGTGTCTGAGGGGTTTGTCTGTGGCTTGTCCTGTTTCATTTCTTGGTTCCCTGACCAGGAAGCGAGGTGATTAATGGATGGTCAAGGCAGCCCCTTAGGCAGCTTAGGCCTCCCCTGTGGAGCATCCCTGCAGGAGACTCCAGCCAGCCTGACTGACGTGGATCCTGAGAGTGCTCCCAGGTAGGCAATTGCCCCGGTGGAACACCTTGCCAGAGCAGCATGTGGTAGGCCCTAGCAGAGGATCAAAGCAGTGGCTGAACACTGGGAAGGAGCAGGCACTTGAAGTCTGGACATCTGAAACTTGATAAGACTGGTCTTTGGAACTTGCCCACTCCATTGAGTGGAAGAGTGGTCTGATCACCCATGGTGTGCCTGTACTGGCAGTTTGGTTTTTGTTTTTGACTTGTCTTGGATTGCTTGATACTTTGGTTTTGGTTTTGACCTGGCTTGGATTTCTTGATACTCTGATTTTGGTTTTGATTCTGGTTTGGTGTAAACTGTAAAAGTGTGTGTGTGCCCTTTTTACCGATTCTTTGTTTTGTAGTGTGTGTGTGGTGTGAGCGTGGTGTTTTGTCTCAAGGAGACATGGGTCAGGCACAAAGTAAGCCCACCCGACTAGGAATTCTATTGAAAAATTTCAAGAAAAGATTTAAGGAAGATTACAGTGTTACTATGACACCAGCAAAACTTAGAACTTTGTGTGAAATAGACTGGCCAGTATTAGAGGTGGATTGGCCATCAGAAGAAAGCCTGGACAGGTCCCTTGTTTCAAAGGTATGGCACAAGGTAACTTATAAGCCAGGGCACCCAGACCGGTTCCCGTACATAGACACTTGGTTACAGCTGGTTTTAGACCCCACTGTCCCCCCGACCCCCACCCATCCACAGTGGTTAAGAGAACAGCAGCATAACGGCTGGCAGAGGCAAGGAAAGACCAGCAGAGAGAGAGAGAGGAAGAGACAGAGAGGAAGAGACAGAGAGACAAAGAGGGAGTCAAGGAGAGAAAGAGAAAGAGAGAGACAGAGAGAGAGTGAGAAAGAGAGGCAAAAGGAAAGTCAAAGAGAAAGAGACAGAAAGTTAAAGAGAGAAAGAAAGAGATATACAAGTAGTTAAGAAAAAAACAGTGTACCCTATTCATTTAAAAGCCAGGGTAAATTTAAAATCTATAATTGATAATTGAAGGTCTTCTCCGTGACCCTACAACACTCCAATACCACCTTGTTGTAAGTGTAAACAAGGGCATAGCCCAAAAGCACTGAGGCTGTTGACAACCTGTAGCCTCCCTATAAAAAACCCTTAACTTAGTAATCTGTGGATGGCCCAAATGCATTCAATCTGTAGTGGCAACTGCTTTGCTAACACAAGAAAGTAGAAAAATAACTTTTAGAGGAAACCTCATTGTGAGCACACCTCATCAGTTCAGAAGTATCCTAAGGAAAAAAAAGATTTAACATTAACCACTGAAAATTCCCTTAACCCAGCAGGTTTCCTAACAGGGGATCTAAATCTTAATTACCATATAAAGGTCCAACCAGACCTAGGAGGAACTCCCTTCAGGACAGGATGATGGATGGTTCCTCCTGGGTAATTGAAGGGAAAAAAAAGCCATCTATACCAATTCTAATTTAATTTGGACTAAACAACGTCTTATTAATAGCAAAGGATAATTGAAATCCCAAACTTACAAGGTTTTCAACAAAAGTAAAATTTGCTAAAAGTTAACACTGTAACATGTATTATAGTAACTTCTAATCTTGTGGCCTTAGACAGTCTAGACAACAGACATAAAGGAAATTTGCTTTGGAAAAGAATGGTTATCTTCGAAAAAAAAAAAATAAAGGGACAAAAGGGGGACAGAATTTATGTAAAAAGAATGTTATATGGTAAATTCTTGTCCTGAAATAAATTAACTGGTTGTTAAAGAAATGCTTGTAGTAAGTCAGAAAGTTGAGGCATGTTGAAGAATTGTCTGCAAAGTCATGAAAAAGAAAAAAAAAAGTCATAAAAAAATTTATGCAAGAAATGTTGTATAATTTAAAAGTAACTTGGCCTCCTGAATGTAAAACTATTGAAAAAACAGTTTATGTGCAAGGTGTATAAGAAAAGTAAAATGTATCTCTGGTAAAAGGATTATAAGGAGGCATAAGAATGTGGATTTTTACCTACATTAAAAGGTTAAAAAATTGTTCTGAAGGTTTAAGTAAGTTTTAAAACATTAACTGTAAAGGAAATTCTGTGTGTAAACATATTGGCTAAAGTCAAAGGGGTATAATCCAGTTTTTCTGTGAACTGAATATTAAAATAAAAACAACAGATTTTTCTTAAAGCATTAACCTGCTCTTCAACAAATACTACAAAAGGTTTAAAAGAGTCTATAAAAATCTTACCTTACGGTCTGACATTAAAAATTAAATAAATATGTCTACAAAGTTTTATTAAAACTAAGTTTAACATTAATAGCACACTAATATAAAGGTGAAATTTAGTTTACCTGGTATAAAAATCATACAGGAAACATTGTCAAATATAGAATGGTGTTTGGCTTCTTTGGTCTAAAAACTAACAAAAAATAGGTGCTAAAGGAAATTTCTCAGTAGAAAGGCACTAAGGACTATAAAGTCCACTGCTGATGTCCCCACATTTAAAACAAAAGGTCAATTTCCTAAAAATTATATACTTGGTTTATATTCCACTTCCCTTTCCCTCAAAACTAAAAGTCTTTTAGCACACGTACCACTCCTAGAATTTCCGGTAAACCAGCACCAGCTTGAAGATCACATTCTCATCAAAAAGTGAAAAAATAAAGTAAACTCAAGCCAGCCTAGGAAGGACCCTACCTTGTGCTGCTAACCACCAAGACTGCTGTTTGTACAGCAAAAAAAAGGATGGACTCATCACACCCAAATCAAGAAAGCACCATCCCCTCCAGAGTCGTGGGCCATAGTCCCAGGGGAAAACCCTACCAAACTAAAGCTAATAAAAATTTAACTCTTTAGTCTATTCTAATACTCTTTCTTCTTTCCTCTCTCTGTTGCTGACCATCTAGTTATTAACATAACCAAGTCAATTTCACCTCAAATTATTGCATTTAATGCTTGCCTTGTTATACCCTGTGGGGACTTGCCAAGTCAAAGACAGCTCTCTATTTTAGAAAAGTACCTCTGTCTCTCCCGACTCTCCTCAGACTGGACATTAGTAAATTAGGACCACGTAATCCAGAGAAATTTCAATAAAGACTCCAGTGTCAAGCAGGAGTTTTGCCCCCCAATGTAGAGCTTTTGTGCTGTAGTTGGTCCAACATCTGTGAATGTCTAAAGAGCAAGGATGGACTGCCCCAACTGGTTTTTGTAATTTCCTAAAATCATACATTCATTTTAGTAAAGAATCATAGAAGTTAAAGACTTAAAACAAATTTTGGCAATTAAGACAGGATACCAAGATGCAAATGCCTGGTTGAAATGGATCAAATATTCCCTCCACATGTTAAACAAAAGCAATTGTTATGCTTGTGCACATGGCAGGCCAAAGGCCCAGATTGTCCCCTTTCCACTAAGGTGGTCCTCCATTCGACCAGGAGTGGGCTGCATGGAAGCTCTTTTCCAGGATTCTACAGCCTGGAGTAATAAGTTGTGCCAAGCTCTCTCTGCTATATCCCAAAGTCTGGCACCCTGCGGGTCAGCCCCCGAGGGTCATCCAGCTTCCATCTCCCAACACCAAGTTCACTTTGTGTCTCTCAGGAAACTTAGCATTCCTTGGAGACCTGAAGGGATGCGATGAGCTTAAGAATTTTCAAGAGCTTATCAATCAGTCAGCCCTTGTTCATCCCCCAGCGGATGTGTGGTGGTATTGTGGTGGACCTTTACTGGGCACTCTGCCAAATAACTGGAGTGGCACTTGTACTTTAGTCCAATTGGCTATCCCTTTCACCCTGGCATTTCATCAACCAGAGGGAGGAAAATTAAGACATCGTACAGTGAGAGAAGCCCCTTATGGATCTTTCAACTCTCACATCTATTTAGATGTGATTGGATTCCCACAGGGAATACCAGATCAATTTAAAGCTTGAAATCAAATAGCTGCAAGATTTAAGTTAATATTTTAGTAGATAACAGTTAATAAAAATGCAGATTGGATAAACTACATCTATTACAACCAACAGCAACGAGCTTTTCATGAGTTAAAAGAAAAACTCACGTCAGCCCCATCCCTGGGGCTACCTGACCTGACAAAACCCTTTATACTCTATATGGCAGTTAGAGTTTTAACCCAGACTGTGGGACCCTGGCCAAGGCCAGTGGTCTATCTCTCAAAACAACTAGATGGGGTTTCCAAATGCTGGCCTCCATGTCTAAGGGCCCTGGCAGCAATGGCCCTGTTAGTACAAGAAGCAGATAAACTAACCCTTAGGCAAAACCTGAATATAAAGATCCCCCCATGCTGTGGTAACTTTGATTAATACCAAAGGACATCATTGGCTAGCAAATGCTAGATTAACCAAGTAACAAAGCTTGCTATGTGAAAATCCCCATAACCATTGAAGTTTGCAACACCCTAAACCCCGCCACCTTGCTCTCAGTATCGGAGAGCTCAGCTGAACATAACTGTAGAGGTATTGGACTCAGTTTATTCTAGTGGTCCCAACCTCCAAGACCATCCTTGAACATCAGTAGACTGTGAGCTGTATGTGGACGGGAGCAGCTTTGCCAACCCCTGCAAAGTGACTCTGAAGAAGCCCTGCTCCAGTCACACCCGGAAGCTGACTGGTCCATGCATGGCCAAAGCATGAGACAACTCATCGTGGTACTCATTTTCCTTAAAATTTGGACTTGTACAGTAAGGACTTCAACTGACCTTCCTCAGACTGAGGACTGTTCCCAGTGTATACATCAAGTCACCGAGGTAGGACAAAAAGTTGTTACAGTCCTATTATTTTATGGTTATTATAAGTGTACTGGAACTCTAAAAAGAACTCGTTTGTATAATGTTATTCTATACAAGGTACGTAACCCAGGAAATGACCAACCTGATGCGTGTTATGACCCATCTGAGCCTCCCATGACCACAGTTTTTGAAATAAGATTAAGGACTGAGGACTCGTGGGGGCTCATAAACGATATGAGTAAAGTGTTAGCCAAAACAGAAGAAAAAGAGTTTCCCAAACAAGTCACCTTAAAATTTGA